ATTAATTATTGTTAATTAAACCTTTTAGCGGAAGGTCCCGTTTCGAAAAAAGCCAAGCTAAAAGGACAGAAACATTCAGAAACAGGGGCCAAGATCGGCTAAAAAAATAAAGTTTCCTTTGTTTTGTTTTCGCTGAGCGTTGATAAACTTCGACAACATGAAAGGAACCAAAACGGTCCTAACTCATGAAGGTTTATTTAAAGTTAAATGGATTCTAAGCAGGATGTCACAATAAAATTTTACAATAGACTGAAATAGATCCTACCTATGAATGTCCCGCCATAGAGTGTGAAGTTGTTTCGCTTCTCAGAGAGATCCAGAGCCATTTCGGCAAGCTATGAGTTTAAGATCTAGAGGTTACACAACTAATAGGAAGTTAATTGGGTAGCTTTTTTTTGGGAGAGGGGGGGGTGTAAAAGAGAGAAGATATAATTATAGTACCTATTCAGACATTCCCATTAAGTATCCTGGCGTTTTCTCCCCTTCCTCCACGACATCTAGTGACGTCACGAGATAACCATTGATGACGTCATAGTTTGGCTTATGTGGCAGAGGATGGGGTGTGATATACTTTCAGAGGAGAAAACTTTTACTACCGAAATGTAGGGGGCAATGCCCCCCCCCTAACAAAAAGTGTTTGTCTTCTGAAGGTGTACTACAGCTCCCCCCCTCCCTTTTTTGGTGCTTATATATCACGAAGGAAAATGTTGGAGAATCAAAGCTCCCATTTTTTGAAGAAAAGTGAAAACAATCATATCTTTGGGAAACAATTTAATTAAACTCCATTTCTGATGGAAATTACTTTTAGCAGTTCTCTTACTTTTTAGACTTTACAGAAAATGTTTGAGTTGTTGAGTTATAATTATTATTTTTTTAATTTAAAAAATTACTGTATTTTAAAGAAAGCGACAAAACTTTTGAGTCTGTAAAAAATGTACATAGCGTTGAAAGTTGAATTCTATAGTAAGTGGAAAAATGCTAATTAAGATGAATAGTGACAACAAGAAAAGAGGTAAAGCATGAAAGTGTGAGAATTAAAAAGATAGTTTTAGATTTACATGGTGTAATTGCTGATTCAAAGATGGTTGTTCTCTTTGAATATGAATAGCCTCTTTTATCTTAAGCTGAAAGCTGGTGGAGGCGTGATCTAAAGCATGGAAGTTATCTGTAGAACACAAAGCGCGACAATGTGGAGAATCTTTCAGATGCCTGAAAATGTGAGAGGCCCTGTCACTGCTCTCTAACACGTGTGGAAAAATGCAGGCAGAGGTTTCACCGACGTAACAGGCATTACAGCCAGCGCATACAAACTTATAAACTACACGTGAACGGAGCCCGTCAGGGACAGGGTCTTTCACACCAAACAAGTTACCGATTTTGAAGGAAGAGAAAACCAGTTTAATATCCAAGTCATTGCAATAGCGCTTAATAAAATGTCGGATCTTTTTTTGAGTGATAGCAGAAAAGTGGCCTATGTAGGGTAGCTTAAAGTAGAACGTAGGTGAAGTGGTAGGAAGGGAATCCCGGGGATGATGATTGTTTTGGGTCCCAGTGATGTAACGGTTTATAATCTTCTCGATTAAATGAGCAGGGAAAAGATTCTTTTTTAGAATATCAGTAAGATTGTTAATGTCCTCGTGAAACCCTAACCAGGTGTTATTAATCTTGTAAATCCTATCAACGAGTGTCTTAATGAGACCCACTTTGTAAGAGTATTAGGTGAAGCTGAAATAATTAGTTAGTAACCCAGTGAAAGTTTTCTTGTGGTAAACACTGGTTAGAGAGGAACTGGGGTCATGGTTGTCAATCAGGACATCAAAAAAGGGTAATTTGTAATTAACCTGCTTCTCCATAGTGAACTTGATGTTAGGGTGCCTAGAGTTGATATAGTCGAAAAATATAGTGGCATCTCGATCTGAGTTAAATAAGCAAAAAAGGCGATAAAATAAGATTGTAGAGCCATGAAAATTTTCCAACTAAAGTTTTTCATGATGTCCCATAAAAAGATTGGCTAAGACAGGAGCAAGGGGAGACCCCATGGCTACGCCATTTATTTGATCATAAAAAGAACCGTTAAATATGAAATGAGTCTGGGCGGTAGCTGTCGTGAAGAGACTTCTAAGTTCAGATTTTTTTAACTTAATGTCGGGATTACCCTCGGAAATGCAATTGACCGCTAAGTCAATACACTCCTCAAGAGGTATGTTAGTAAAGAAACTTTCAACATCAAAAGAGACCATACACTTACGAGATATAGATAAAGATTGGATGTCCTGAACAAAAGTAAAAGTGTCAGTGGCACAGTAATCAGTTGGAATATGAGGTGAGATGCCAGGTTGTAATTATATGTTCCTATAGAAGATACGATGGAGCGAAATGGCGGTGTAGAGTTAGCTTCACGATCCTTATGCAGTTTTGGGAGGGCCGTAAATTCTTGCTGGAAGAGGGGGAGTGAAAATTATAGCGTATGTGAAATTATTTCGAATAAAACAGACGACCGAAAGTAATCATGAAAATAAAACATCAAAAGATGTTGTGCCAATACCAAGTTGCGTCCACCCTAAGAGAACGTGAGCGGTGTCGATGATAAATCGTGTTCGAAAAAATTGTGGTTTAAGGTTTGATTTCGTTCTTGAAGTGGAAAAGAAGGAATTGTCGGTGAGGCCGCTAAAAATGATACGCGACTACTGGCTATTGATGATGGTTTATAGGGAAAAAAAACGCTGTTTAATTTAAAAGTTTTAAACATATAACGTCAGTCACATTTAAATCATTTGAATTAGCTAATGAGCGCGTGCCTGAAATTCAACACTAATAAGGGCCTGGACCTAATTTTCCCTAGGGGAACCCCAGGTAGGTGAGGTAACCCGCCTACCCCACCTCAATGTAAACAGGCCCTAAAAATGAAAGTCCGTAATTGCGCGCGCCAAGGCGTAATTGCCAACTGAGTTCTTCAAAGTTTTTTTTTAAGGAATTCCATAAATGCAGAAATATTGCAACAGTAACAATGATAAATTGTTCCAAAATTCGATTTAGTTTATTTGGATCTAGGAGAGATGATTCGAAAACTGAAAAGACTGTCATATGGCACTTGCTTATAATGGTCGAAAAACAAGATAGAAAAAACAAACCCAACAGAATATTGAACAACACTGTTCGTTTTCTCTGATCCAACACTAGGCCGGCGGTGAGGAAACTTGTTTTAACTTTGCAATACTCTTGGTGCAACCTCAGTGAATAACACAGTTGTAACATTGACTCAGTTGTAATCGAGCCAGGATACATGATTTATCAGATCACGAGACAAAACTCGTAGCATTGTATTATATAACCATCGCTTCAATATTTGCGCAACCTCGACGAATTAAAACAAGCTGTAAGCAAACATTTTTAACTTGTTTGGTTTAGAAGAGGGTCTCTGTGGGGTGATGGGTGACTTTAGACATTAAAAAGTCCGGTTGATTTCTTCTAATAAGATGTTCGAAAGCATAGAAATACAAAAACATCTTGCGCTAGTTAATTTCCTTCGCCGCAGTGACTTCAAATTTTTAGTGATTTTGCTACCGTGAAAGATGAATTATGCAAATTATCTGTTAAGCAAACTCTGACCGTTCTATATCAATGGCTCCCTGTAGTTTGGTCCTGAAATGTTCATACAGGTTTAAATAGCTCAAGCTCTCTAAACTCAAATAGGAAAGAACACAAATCATTTTTCTTTAAAAAAGAGTTGCTCGTTAAAACGCTGACCGATCGCTAATCAGTACGATAGTCGATACGTTTTGTTCGTCTCTTGTTTCACATATCACAAGAGGCAAGTGATCAGTTCAAACTTGAAGTATTGACGAGCCTGCATGACATTCCTGCCATCCGCAAGCGATTTTAAACTTCTGTCTTCATAGATTAGTTTTGACCAGGATATATTTTGATGATTTTTTTTCCGATTTAATTTTGAGTAAGGTGCCATTTCCCCATTAGTATGTTCTTAAGTTTAGGTAAAGCCGGGTGATATTGAATAACGAAAGGCAATATTTTCTTCTGTCTGATGTTTCCTTTGTTTTTTAAGTGACCCTTCTCTACTGGAGCAGACAACTCCAGACATGTATTTCTCCAGAACTTCGTCAGGTTTCCTCGATCCCCTTCTTTAGTCGTATTTTTAAGCTCTGTACGTTTTTTATTAAGTGTGGAGCGCGTCAGATTTGTTTTTAGGATGGGTAACGCTTCTCCTTATGCGAATCCTTTCTTTACGCCTCGTAAAATGTGTTTACGGGCCGGCACGATTCCTGCCAGGCTTTGAATAATATTAACAAATTTCTCCACAGTTGCCCGTATGTCAACGAAAAAAAGAGGAGTGGTTGACAAGGATCTTTTAAGATGCTACATCAAATTTATTCCTCAAATATTGAAGATTTTGTTAACTAAACCTTACAAAAGGCTTTGAAAAAAAATTAAACCAGATTCTAGTGGTTCGTTTTATACCTAAACTACTGTTTTAACTTTACTGATTTCGCTTAACTTTAAAGCCTTACTTACGTCAACATTTTTCTGTGCTTATGATATTGGAAATATAATTTTTGCGTTGTTCAGTTGAAGGTTTCTTTATTCTTCTCTTTCTTACATACAACTTATTACCTCGGGACTAACTCAGATCTAACAAGGAAAGTGTGGGTCTCCGCTTATAAAAGGGACGCTTACTGAGCTGCCAATCTCTAACCTTCGTCATCCTTTTACACTTAACTAGCGAATCACGTTAAGCTACGAAGAGCGGAGTTCGCATACTAAGTAGATACCTTCGAGATGTTTACGCTTTACAAAATCCTTAAATTTCTTAGTCTTACAGTCAAGGTTGGTCATAACTAAAACAAGATTGATAATATAAAAATTGTAATGAAATTACCAACAGAATTAGAATCATACTTGAAAATATATCTTAAGAGGAAATACTCCTCGAAGACTGTTACATAACAGCACAATAAACAGAAAATTCGGACAAGAAAAAAAGAGCTACGTGCTATTCGTATAAATTACCTGATTAAAATTCGGTGCGGAGGATGAAAAGTACTACTTGTTTACACCTTAAGTCACCTCTGAGAAAAAGAGGTGTGAAGCGTGCTAAATTATACCTGTAAGATAAGACCGCCAAAAGGAATAAGAAATGATCAACTGGCTTATTATAATTTTTACTGAATGGCTTATGCTAATATACTATTTCCATTCATTTCCAACGTTTAAATAAGTAAAAAAAAAAACACTGGATAGATACAAATTTTGTCTTTTAACAATATTGAAAAAGAAAGCACAAAAAATTGAACTAGATCTAATTTGGGATAGCTCCTTTTTTAATTTCAATGAAATACCGGATAAAGTATGTTCTCTACTTTGCTCTATTCAATTTATGCATCTAAAAGTCTTTTGGCTCTGTTTCCTTCGAGTGATTCTCATTATTTACTCTGTCGGGGTCTCTTTCTCTGTAAAAAAAGTGAAAAAAAAAAAACAGCAATTTATTATTAACTCGATTAATATTTTGGATATGAAGCAAATACAATTATACCAAGCTTAATATCTAAAAATATAAATGGCTAGCACTTGTATGTGATTGGCAGAGAGGCCCTTTCGAGATTCTATATTTACACCAGAGAGCGTCGATAGTAACTCTCCGAAAAGAATATAGAAAAAAATATATATATATATATGGATATATACCGAACTACCCTTGATGGTAACAAAGGACCCCCGCCGACAGTCACCGACCAGTAAATCACAGCTACCTTCACATCTACTTAGACTTTAATTTGTGAAATATCTTTTCGGACTGAGTCTTACCTCTGCTTGTCAAACCCGAGTCTCACATCATCTCCAATCAGCGTAAACGAAGCCCACTCAGACACACTGGTAGACTTGCTTTTTCTCATCCACTTCATGGCCTGATGGAGGGATTCACTGGCACTTTCTCCCTCTACAAGGTGTTCGTAGAACCGACTCATCAGCTGCTCTGTTGCTGAGTCTGAAATGGCCCACAGCGCAACCAACACCGAGCGAGCACCGGATCCTAAGAACGCACGGGCAATTCCTATAACTCCCTCGGCTCTAATGTCACCTCTTCCACTGTGACAGCAGCTAAGTACCACCAGTTTAGCTCTGACTTTCACTCGTGATACATCAGCCATCGTCAACATGTAATCTTCATGTGGTAAGATAGCGTTTCGCCTGTTGGAAGTACTAGGGATGGGGGAGAGGGCAATTTCTCCCCTTTCGGCGTCACCATGGGCAGCAAAATGAATCAGGCTCACTGAACTTATCCGCTCAAGCACCGCCTGCTTCGTTGCTTCTTCTCCTACCAGAGGCAGAACACCCACCAGTCGTCCGACCATCTCCGCTTCCTTTCTTGCACCTGGCAATGGTGGCAGCCAATTAACCTTAGGGTTGCCTATTATCAAGGCACCAGTGTTGCTGTGATAGTCCTCTGGGCTATCTTGAATAATCTTGAGTGTTGTCAAAGAAGGAATGACACGGATTCTATGAGTCTCCGAGAGGTATTGGGCTCCCTCCTTTTCACTCAGTGCAGCAAAGGGAACTTTGTACAAACTGCGGTCAGGAACGATAATGACTTCAGGCTCCTCAAGCAAATCATAAACGGGAGCAATAAACATTTTGTAACACAAAAATAGACCTGAAATCACTTTCTCGTCCTCATCCTCGTCCTCGTCCTCCTCCACGAGTCGCAATCTTGCTGAGCTCTTCTGTGCGGGGGAGAGAGGTTGCAATTTAACCATATTTAAAGACCGATCTTCACAATCTTTAGTGGGCAAAATACCAAGACTCCGGAAATTATCATCCAAAAATTTACTCAAACGCAAATCTTTGGGCAACCCAGCCTGAACTAGATTCTCTTCTACTGATATTCTTCTATAGTGAAGGACTCCACTTTTCTTTAAGATCCACAAACGCAGATCACTGTGAAAATAAGAAATGTACAGACAAGTACAGTTATTTTTCTTTCTAAAAATGTTCTCAACGCCAAACCAAGATTGCGGATTAGCAGAGATGTGCGTTCCAACCGAGTACTTCTCTACCATTAAGTCTGATAGGCCTCTAGCTCGACCCAACTCCTCAACATAAAGAGCATCCCGAGCATTTCCGGTGTCACAAAGCAAACTACAAAGCAGCTTGTAGGGAAATATTCCTGAGTGCTCCAGAAATGATGTTTTGAACTGATCATTGGCGCCTAAGAAATATCTCAGCTCCTCATACTTTTCAATGCAGAGATAAAGACACGAACGGGATTCTTCTTTTTTATCTTGCGACAAATACAAAATGGCGTAATGTCGAAGGATTTCGAACTCTCCTCTTCTATCTCCAATATCTCTGGACATCGATAAAGCTTTCTCTAAGCATACTTCTGAGGCTTCATAATCTCCTATAGCTCCACACACACATCCAAAGTTTGCAAGATCTGTTACTTTCCCTTCTTTATCACCAATTTCAGTTCTGATGACGAGTGCTTTTTGGAGATACTCTTTAGCCTTGTCGTATTGCCCGAGCGACTGAAACACAGTACCTAGGTTTCCATAACATGATGCTTCCCCATTTCTGTCACCAATTTCAGCTTTGATGACAAGCGCTCTTTGGAGATACTCTTCAGCTTTGTTGTATTGCCCGAGCGACTGAAACAAATTACCAAGATTTCCGTAGTCAGTTGCCTCTCCTTTTCTGTCACCAATTTCAGTTCTGATGACAAGCGCCTTTTGGAGATACTCTTCGGCTTTGTCGTATTGCCCGAGCGACTCAAACAAATTACCAAGATTTCCGTAGTCAGTTGCCTCTCCTTCTCTGTCACCAATTTCAGTTCTGATGACAAGCGCCTTTTGGAGATACTCTCTAGCCTTGGCGTATTGCCCGAGCGACTGAAACACACCACTTAGGTTTCCATAGCATGTTGCTTTCCCTTTTCTGTCGCCAATTTCAGTTTTGATGACAAGCGCCTTTTGGAGATACTCTTGAGCCTTGTCGTATTGGCCGAGCGACATAAACACAATACCAAGGTTACTGTAGTCAGTTGCCTCTCCTTTTCTGTCACCAATTTCAGTTCTGATGACAAGCGCCTTTTGGAGATACTCTCTAGCCTTGGCGTATTGTCCAAGCGACTGAAACACAGTACCTAGGTTTCCATAACATGTTGCTTTCCCATTTCTGTCGCCAATTTCAGTTTTGATGACAAGCGCTCTTTGGAGATACTCTTCAGCTTTGTCGTATTGCCCGAGCGACTGAAACAAATTACCAAGATTTCCGTAGGCAGTTGCCTCTCCTTCTCTGTCACCAATTTCATGATGACAAGCGCCTTTTGGAGCCTCTAGCCTTGGCGTATTGTCCAAGCGACTGAAACACAGTACCTAGGCTTCCATAACATGTTGCTTTCCCATTTCTGTCGCCAATTTCAGTTTTGATGACAAGCGCCTTTTGGAGATACTCTTGAGCCTTGTCGTATTGGCCGAGCGACATAAACACAGTACCAAGGTTACCGTAGTCAGTTGTCTCTCCTTTTCTGTCACCAATTTCAGTTCTGATGACAAGCGCCTTTTGGAGATACTCTCTAGCCTTGGCGTATTGTCCGAGCGACATAAACACAGTACCAAGGTTACCGTAGTCAGTTGCCTCTCCTTTTCTGTCACCAATTTCAGTTCTGATGACAAGCGCTCTTTGGAGATACTCTTCAGCTTTGTCGTATTGCCCGAGCGACTGAAACAAATAACCAAGATTTCCGTAGTCAGATGCCTCTCCTTGTCTGTCACCAATTTCAGTTCTGATGACAAGTGCCTTTTGGAGATACTCTTGAGCCTTGTCGTATTGGCCGAGCGACTTAAACACAATACCAAGGTTACTGTAGTCAGTTGCCTCTCCTTTTCTGTCACCAATTTCAGTTCTGATGACAAGCGCCTTTTGGAGATACTCTCTAGCCTTGGCGTATTGTCCGAGCGACTGAAACACAGTACCTAGGTTTCCATAACATGCTGCTTTCCCATTTCTGTCGCCAATTTCAGTTTTGATGACAAGCGCTCTTTGGAGATACTCTTCAGCTTTGTCGTATTGCCCGAGCGACTGAAACAAATTACCAAGATTTCCGTAGTCAGTTGCCTCTCCTTCTCTGTCACCAATTTCAGTTCTGATGACAAGCGCCTTTTGGAGATACTCTTGAGCCTTGTCGTATTGCCCGAGCGACTTAAACACAGTACCAAGGTTACCGTAGTCCGATGCCTCTCCTTTTCTGTCGCCAATTTCAGTTCTGATGACAAGCGCCTTTTGGAGATACTCTCTAGCCTTGGCGTATTGTCCGAGCGACTGAAACACAGTACCTAGGTTTCCATAACATGTTGCTTTCCCATTTCTGTCGCCAATTTCAGTTTTGATGACAAGCGCTCTTTGGAGATACTCTTCAGCTTTGTCGTATTGCCCGAGCAAATGAAACAAATAACCAAGATTTCCGTAGTCAGTTGCCTCTCCTTCTCTGTCACCAATTTCAGTTCTGATGACAAGCGCCTTTTGGAGATACTCTCTAGCCTTGGGATATTGTCCGAGCAAAAAAAACACAGTACCTAAGTTTCCATAAGATGATGCTTCTCCTCTTCTGTCGCCAATTTCGGTAGCTATAGCAAGGGCCCTCTCAAAATATTCCTTCGCCTTTAGGTTTTCGCCAAGTGTTTTAAGCATAATTCCAGACTTTATGTATAAGATAAACAGCACCTTGCTGAAAACAACTATAAAGATGTCTTTGCTGTTTTGATCGGTGCTATTTAGCAAAATCAAACATTCCCTGCATATCTCAATGGCTTTCTGAATGCGATTTGAGTTGCGCAAGAACAGGGAAACAAGTAAGGCGATGGTCATGAAAGCTATCATGGCTTCTGCTATTAGGTTTCCATTGCCATCCTCTCCTGTAATCAGGGAAACATTTCTTTCAGTAACGCAATACAAAGTTATTCGATAATCTGGATTCATAATGAGTCACTACAAACCGGAACACACATGTTAAGTTACAAAAGCAAGCTTGGTCGATTTCACCTTGAAACTTATTGTAACGAGCTGAAAGTGTTAGAATTCACCATATCGGCTTTAAAACAAAATTGAAGAAGGGTGTGGATAAGTACAACTGGAACACATCAACGGATCACATTCGGTGAAACTTTTAAAATTTTATTTGACCTGCACAGATTCTTTGAAGCAGACTGTATGACTGTCACTCTATGAAAGTCATCTGTTATCCAAATGATTTTTGATCCAGCTGTTTCGTTTATTCTTCTTATCAAGTAAAAGAAAAAATGACGCATGCTTGAGTTTGATTAACGATCGTAAGTCGTGGGGTCGCGCCATCAATTAGGTGGTTTTGAAAGGTTGCAGGTTTCTTAAAAAAACAAGAAGGATTGATACCTTTTACTACAACGTTCTGGGAACATTTGAAAATGTTGTTCTAGCAGTTTATCACCGGTTAACGAACTTACTTATCTGAGGTATATGGCTGAAAACGAATCTATTCGTAACTGATAAGGATGATTGCCAGGATTTGAGGTAACAGTGGTTTGACAAACTCGGTTTGTCACCCTTCATTTTACTTAAGTTGTGATTTTTGCACAACATGACATGACTCTAAAGTCACAGGATAAAGATAAACAAAACAGCATTTATCTTAACTTTTGCTGTGAGAACTTTCCCCTTGCATAGTTTCTATAAACAACATTAATCAACGGGGTAAGTTTCTAAAAAAACTTTGGTGGGATATACAATATAATTTGGCTTTACCAACTGAGTTGACAATGTAAATTGGCCATTGTGATGAGTTTCTGAAGTTGACGTTTCGAACGTTAGCCCTTCATCAGAGCATTTGATAATCTTGGGGAATCAATGATGTTGTACTACCAGTATTCTGCAAAGAAACTAGCAAAGAATTTCTCCAAAAGTACACCGATTCTAGAACCGAAACTACCCACCGAGCTGGTTATCCTCACACCCGTCATTTGTCATGAACATATACGTTGTCACGACCAAAATGTCCATTTCTCGTCTTCTTTGGGGCGACCGATGGAAATTTCATGGAGAAATACAGCGTCACGCCATCATGATAAGGTGTTTATGACAACTGACCGGTGTGAGGATAGTTTCGTGTAGATCAACCGACTTCAACATGTTTCAAATAACATACAAGTATAACAGTGTATCTTCAGAGAATTTCAGATTGCTCAAATTCCCATGGAAGAAGGTGCAGGTGGATGATATGTACACGATTTGAAGTTTATGTTTGTAGTTACGTCGAGTTGTCCTCCACGAAGGTTAGTCAATTTTTTTAAAAGATGACAAACAGAGGCGAGATTTCTCTTCGGGATATTGCTCATAAGATAACATTCTTTCAAAGCCTCGCACGTTTCATTTGTCTGAAACGTTTGTTGTTGAGAACATTAGGTGTAAACATCGCCAAATTATGCAATATCTGATTTTTGAGCTTTTTTTGCGAATTGCCCCTATAAAAAGTGGAGTCAGACCCGCAGAGATTTTTACATATTTAAAAACAAGAATATTATAACCAGCTAGGTGGTTAGTTTCGGTTCCAGAATCGGTGTACTTTTGAAGAAATTCAGATGAAAGTTTTCCCTGTTTTACCCGACAACAAAAATGACCGAAACTGTACCGAGATGAATAATCTATTGGTGTGTTCACATTCACTCCCAGGGAAAATTGAATGAATCAATGTGAAGACAAATGATGTTACTATGTATGGTAGAAGTGCCAATTTTTAATGTTTTATTTAGCTTAAGATAGAGAAATAAACATTTCACTTTTTTCTTGCGACGTTTTTGTATGAAAATCAGGCCCCAGGCCTCGAACAAGAAGTCGTTGTTACTATAGCAACAAGAGTGCTGCGGCCTTTAAAAAGGGCATTTTTGTGCATCCCCCCTGAGTGCCTAACTGCATGTAAAATTTGAAGGGGGGTTGAAAATTTTCATTTCCCAAGATGTTTGATTCTTACAGAGACTTGATCTTAAGCGTTTCAATTCTTAGGCTAACAGGAGACAGAACCTTTAACCGCAACTGTCTGGAAGATTTCTTGACTTTCCGCTATATGGCATGAAACACTTGAAAATATTGTTGTAGCAAGATATTACCAAGTAACGAGCTTACTTATCAGATGAATGTCACTGAAAACGAATCTATCCTTAGCTGATAAGAATGATGAACAAGCTGTGGGGTCACAGAGGTTTGACGAACTCCGGCTTTGTGACGAATTTATTTCATCCGGTGGCGATTTTTGCACAACATAACATGACTTAATAGTCACAGGACAGGACAGGACTTAAAAAAAAAAAAAATGAATTTGCGATAGAGAAGTTACTTATTTCATATGTGACCGTAAAGTTAAAACTAAAGTTAAGACAAAGTTACTTTAAAAAAAAAGTACACTGATAAAATTATTGACCGATAAAATTGACCTCGCAGCTGACACTTTTGAAAGTGAAACGACAAAAACAATGAAAATCAGATAACAATTTTTCCTACATTCCTAAACTTCCCTCAGTAATGAGGCCAACCTATACCATGATTTTTAAGTGTTTTGTTCCACGGAAGAGATGAACAACTTTCAATACATCTTGATTAATGTAAGAACCACACGATACGATTCTACACGTTTTTGATCTTTTAGAATATCAAATATCATTGATGAATAAAGTTGATTTTTCTTGTCAGTAAAGGGTTTATCGAGTTTATATGAGAAACAAAATAATACATGGTTGTTTGTGGATATGAAATTTCTCTTCTCGTGTTCAAATCGACATCTCACCCATTCGCTGCGCTCACTCGTGAGCTACGTAGTTAAACACTCGAAGAGAAATTCCATATCCACGCGCGCCCACGCATTATTCTCTATGTAATCCTCTTTTTCCCACTTTTATGCAGGCATACACCATGAGTTTGTTAAATAGCACCAGAAAAATCTCTAGATTTTTAACCAAAGTTGTTTGGGTTTATTGTATATTTGTATTTATTGTATTATTGTTATCTGATCAATAACACTATGACAAGATTATAGTAAATCAGTCAAGTAACGTTCTGTTCCTCACCGGAAATACACTGTTTTTCTTCGTGAGCTCTCAGCGTTATAGGCTGACTTATCTTCTTACGGAAGACTTTGGTGCTTTAACAAAAAGTGGACGAGGTCAAATTTATTACCTATGCAAATTACGGCCACTGGAAAACTACGAACTCTTACATCGCGATTATCCTATAACATCAGCAATGAAATAAATATATTTGCCTAATTACGTAATTGGGAAAACAATCAGTTTCTGCAATTACGATTATTCACAACGTGATATGCAAACATAAAAATCGGAAAAGCATTCATAAGGCTTTCCTATCAGAGCTTACTTCACTAAATACTTTTAGATAACAAAACCCGAGTACCTAAGTTTCCCAAACATTCTGAAACTTGCGCTTTCACAGTTTTTTAGGGTATCCCGAGGTTTTGAGTATTCAGATCACTTCTGTTTTGGGTATCCCCTCTTGGCTATTACTTTGAAAGTGAAACGGCAAAAATAATAGGGACCTTAAGCAAACCACGACGGGGACGGCAACGAGGACATGGAAAAGCAAAAGATCTAATTGGCGGAACAATAGCTCAGCACGCGCATTTTAAAACTTTTTACATTTCTTAGCCGTCCTATGCAAAACAACAACGTGAATTCACCACGATTTGCGTCGTCTGCGAACCGAAACCGCGACGGCAAATTATTTTAATTTGCATTTGGAACTCAACGCTTCTTTTATATGTTATGCTGAAGTTGAGGTGTGGTGCCGTATGAGACGGCAAACAAATGCAGCCATTTTTAAAATTCTAATTAAAGGCAGAAATTAATTTTTAAATCGAAGTCTTCCTTGCATTAACTGCTTTATTTTTCTCCAATTATTCTGTGTAGCTGAAATCGGACAGTGTAATCGGACAGTTGGCTGTAATCGGACACCTATAATCGGACAGTTGCAATTGAAGAAGCATTATACTAAGTCCACTCAGCTAAATCCACCAATCACAGAATTGATTGCAATAACCATAGCAACAACCACTTATCTTGAAAAAAGAAAACTGGTGAATTTCAAAAATGGAGTAATTTTTTCCTTTTTCACGTTGTCTCTACCGGAGATGTTTGTCCAAAATGTAATTGTTGTTTACGGAAATTTTTAATCACTCGGTATGATTACAGACCGAATTGGATTCCCCTTGACCCTATTACGATAATCAATCATAAAGTTGCAATTTATTCGATTGTAATTGGTTTAAAAAA